AAAAAAAACGTAATACAAACTGAGAAGAAATAAACATTATCAAACAAACATCATAGTTTCCGCTATACCGTAAATATACTGTATGTCAACCGTTGGAACTGACTGTGTAAATTTGGCAATATATTCTTCACCCTGCAAAAAAAAAGCAGTAAAAGTACAGAAATAATCAAGTAAAAATCTTCCAATTTTTATCTCTTTTTATCTTTGATATTTTAAAAACATGTTTCAATTGGTATAGCTGGTGAAAAAAATTCTGTAGAAGATATACTGAAAAGATTTTAAATGAAACAAGAACCAGAAAAAAAAAAGATAAAACTGAACCATACCAAACAACTGTCAAAATACTGTTTAAATAAAGTTAAAGAAGCAAAAACAAAGAAAGAAACTGTACCAAAAAAACATACTTCTTCAAAACTGCATATACCAGCAGTAATTGCCTTCAGTTTAGGGATGTTTGTCGATGGTACCCAAATACCGACCTGTTTCTTCTCCGCCATTTCTTCCGGAAAACAACCCAAAATTTCTGTGATAAGCTTCAAAAATACTTGCTCATTATCACAGTAGATTGGCGAAAATGCTGGATATGTTGCAATTGACAAAAGACGTGCACTACCATAGCCAACAATTGCATTTGTAGCATCCAAAGCTACCTAAACCAAACGACATTTAACATTTTTAAAACTGTTGCTGATCGCTTGGTCAGTCTCAATGGGCAGCGAATAGTTGCTCAATTGATCAGTCGGGTGGTGGGTACAGCAATGACTGTACAATATTTTCATAAAACTTCAAGTTCTTTCCTCATAACAGCTGAAGACAAAAGAAAAGAGATTAGAGTATTCTGTATTTGGAACTTATTAAAAAAAAAATTAAATCTAATGTCACCCATAATCCGTCATCCTTTCTTTTTTCCTTCACTTCGTTGTCATCAAAAAAAATTCCTCTTTTTTTCATCTTTTAAAAAACATTGCGTGATTCGTTGATAATCTGTTAATTTTTTTTCTTTTTGGTGACACTCAATTACTAATTACTGTTAAGATAAATAGTAATTTTTGATGACGAGAAGAAAGGAAGTCACGAGTTTAATGTAATATGACTTGAAAAAGGTGAAGATAAAGAAGAAAGAGGAGAAAAATAAGAAGATGAGAAGCAAAAGAATAAATAGAAGGGTATAGACATTCGAAGTAATTTAGTGTTCTGTTGTCTGATTTTGTTTAAACAAAAGACAAAAAAAGGTAAACTCTACATATTAAGATGTTAACTGAAAAAAAAAAAAAAAGAAAAGTTATTCAAGACAATAAAAAAAGAAAATATGAGTCGAAAACATAATAAAAGTAAAAACATAGTTTCTTGTTTCTCTCATTGCTCAACAAACGTAATGTATGCCGTTTAAAAAG